CTCCTATATACTCAGACAGCAAAAATCATGACTTTTTGGCTGTTATTCTAATTGAAAAAGAAGATTTAATAAATGATTTTTTTACATCAACAACGAGGTCAAAAAGAAATAGACAAGTGTCAACACTTGATCATGATCTTTCAATCCAATCACTGTCATATGTTTCTCTTCGATTTTGTTCACTGAAATGTAAAATTTAAAAAATGAATACGTTTCAAGTTTTTAATTGGCTCTTCTGCCGACAGTCCGACGCAGATAACCATCGATAACAATCTCTTTCGTTTGCGGAAGTAAAGCATAGGATCCGTCGGGTTTCACTGGATTGAAGGTTCCTTTGGCTTTTTCTTTTGCAATCTCTTTGGCAAGAGCCACAAATGTATCCGTCGTATATACTTTATCATGGTTGTTCGACATCATAGCTGTGATCCGTTCAAATAAACTTCTGACAGCCTCATTTTTTTCCTGTTCCGTTCCCTTATTATTAAAGCACAAATAGCGTCGACCGCATTGTTCAAGAAGTTTTCTCAGCGGAGCATTGGTTGGTAATTGTGATAGATAGCCATCTAATGTATTTTCTTCTTCCTCAAGTACATCCCCATGAGTGAAAATGATGATCGTATGGTGAACTGCTTTTGGACCAAAGATTTTGCTAAGATAATCAGTTGCTACAGCTTCTTGATCTGTCATTCTTGCCGGTTCAAGTACAAGTAAGAAAACATGTGGTCCAGGAGTCGCTGTTAATTGATATGATTTACCAACTTCTTGCTGTATTACTTCGTCTTCTATATTGGGATCAAGAAATCCGGGTGTATCGACAATAAATAATCTTTTATTTTCAAAATCCCGAGCACCAGAAGCACATTGGGTTGTGACACCAACTGGAGCCTTCTTTGCCACAAAAAATTTTCCGCCAAGAATGGTGTTACCAACTGAACTTTTGCCTTCAAAAATGAACAAATCAAAGTATGTTGGATGATTTCAATGTGTCTTTTTCACCTGTGCCAGTTCTACCGAGTAGAACCATTCGAATTTCATTATCAGTTCCAGTCGCCTCAGCATGTATTTGACTTGAACTGGCCATCTTTCTATCTAAAATACCCCAATCATTCACAGATCATGCAACAGCAAATGTTTCACTGTAAAAAAAAAACGAAACACTAGATATATAAACGAAGCGATGCTTCCACAAAAAACAGACACTTTGATTGATGTCTGATTGGTCGAAAGCACACCTAATATAGACACTTCATATGTCTTACACATTTTTTATTGAATGATCTACACTAATGACTGAAATGTCTGGTATGTATCCTTCCTACCTAATATCAACTTATATAAGACTGACCCTTTCTTGAAATAAATAAATAAACTAAACTCTAAAAAGAAACTTCCACTGAAACAAATTTTTAGAAGAGTCTGGATGTTGGGTACGCATGAGCCAGCTACAGGAGACTTTTACCTATACCCACATCATCCCACATCCGAGCTCGGTGAACAGGTATTTTTAACGACCAAGCTAGTATGATGCGGCTCAGGGAGCAATATGACGAGGTCTAAGAAGGAATAAGTTGTACTTAGATGTCAAATCAAGTGCCCACATCAGTATTAGATATGCCTTATAGTGCAAGCAAATATAAATTGTCTATTTTCTCTCTATTGTTGTTTTATATTAACTATACATTATGTAGTAAGATTTTCCAGAACGAGATAAAGTTGGACTATCACTGGTTTCAGTATTGTATAATTATTCTACTTTTATCTTCGTCATACTTCGGGATCAAACTATATTTTATAATTTTCATCGATTTATAATACAATTTGTGTCATCTCAAGTTGAAATAGCTTATATAGCAGTTCCAACTTTACTGCATTTGCTAAACTACAGCTTGGTGGTAATTTCATGATTCCTAAGCAGAAGGAATCCTAAAAAGTCATGAAAACTTGCGCTTTTGCGTTCTAATCTCGTAAAAGCGCTGATCATCCATGTGCAATTAAAATCGATTAAGAAGTAATAATAGATTAAAATTGATTAACAGGTAATAAGAGTTGTAAAGAATTAGAACAGGTGATTCTCACGTAAAAAAGAACGGAAAATAGCTAATTTTTTAATTTTTGTTTTGCACCGAGAAGTCTCTATTTAGTTTTGTTTTATCATATGGCTTATAAGGCAATATAAAAGTAGAAAAACGATCAAAATTGGGCTCGAATCAATTACTTGACGATTTTTTAGCCTGACTATTGTGAATCAAATCAAATTATTATCGAATGGAAGTGGATTGCTTAATTGACTGAAATCATTTTAATCAATTAAAATTTTTCTAATTGGCTGTAATTAATTATAAGTTTCATTTTGTTTCCATATAAAAGGATTGTTAACTTTGATTAGACCTAGAAGATTTGAAATTGTAATCGATTTTTATCGCTAAAATTTTCCACGGGATAGTGAACACCAAAAGCATAAGGAAAAACAAGAGAAAAAGAACTTCTCATAGTTGAAAACGAAACTGCTCGCTCTCTCATTAGTGATCGAAATAAATAAAATGAATTGCAAATAAATAGAACAAGTTAGTGATGAAGATATTTTCTACTCAATAAAAATGCAAATATACTAATAAGCATCTACAATAAGATAAATTGTAAAGGTGAGAAGTGATTAAAAAGAGGATAATTTCTAATTAAAAAGGAACACAAGCATCTGGATTTTGAAATAAAACTTCTTTACATTGTGAGCAATAAATAGAATTTGCTGGACTTTTTAATAAATAAAACACATCAATTGAATGATCGAGATAAAGTAAAACTAAAAAAATACATAAAATAAAGCACAGGAGTTTGTGACAATGAAGCATATAGAAAAGAACAATAAATAAACGAAAGTAAAAATTCTCTGAGAATTGGTTAACGAGTCTAACCAGTAATATGTACGAGAAATAGCATTTCAAAAGAGGGTGCTAGTTTTCTTTTTTTTTATTCGATCAGAAGCATATAAGTACTATTGACTCTGATAGCTGTACAAAGCACAAGTCCACTTCATTCTTAGAGTTATTCTACTACTAGTAACATTTTTCCTGATTTCGTTTGGAATACTACTAAAAGATCACTTATCTGTCTAAAATAGAACTCAGTGAATGGTAAATTGAATGATAATTCATACTCATCAGTATCTATTAGATCCAAACCTCTAAAAAATAGGATGCATCTTCTGTTTGACTCGTGTCTAAATTAGATGGTGGAATGATCCATTGTCTTATGCGACGGATGGCATTTTTGACAACGGTCACTTCATTGAAATCATCCATTCTCATGACTACGATTGAAGCAACTACTTGTTTACTTCACAATTTACAATGTTTCAATTCATATGACCGACAATATCGCTTAATCGACACATTACATGTTCCAATAGCGATTCTCTTATTATTGTTCACTAAACAATTGAAGAGTTCTACTCTTTTTTCTCAAGAATTCTCTGCATCTAATAGATGGCGCTGCTGCATTTTTCAACGAGGGTGTGGGTATGTGGGTGTGGGTATGAACATGCAATTGTGAGTGAGATTGGCAGGGTTCTCTTGTCCCAAATTCACACGCACGCTCACACCATCCCCAAACCAACACCCACATCTAAATAGGAACCTTAGTCTTTTCTGGATAAAATGCGTTGTCTGATGCAGTTATCACCGGGCTATCCTAATCAACAACAGAAATTTCGATTTGAGCTACACGATACCGAAAGATGATTATAATATAGTGAGAAAAAATTTTCAAATAAAGGTCTTTTTCAAGAAAAAACTATAGTAAGTGACTTGCGTTATTACTTTCTGCCTTTTTATTATCAACTCGAGGCTTTGAATATTTAAAATCGATCGATATCAAAAACTTAATAAGTCCTGAAATTTCATAGAATTATGCAATCTCAAGGATAAGTGGGGTACACATCCCGTAGAATAGCAAGATGCTTGTTTTTGGGTAGCAGACTTCATAAAGCATGCTCTCCTGGCAGATGCTTCCGCAACACTGGTTCCCTAATGCCATTTACTGTCTAGACAGTTGTATTACAGCGATATATGCTCCATTAAATAGTCTAAAATAATTTTTCAAGAGCTACAGTTTATGATAAGCTAAGAAGCAGCTAAAATAGTTATAAACCAGTACAGAATTCAAAATGCGATAGAAAATTTAGAATCAATTTGGAAATTATTATTGGTTCCACTAAATTTTCATAATCGTATGAGCAAGTAGAAGTATAAAAAACCTGTGGATGTCGGGCTTCATTGAAGTCATACTCGCACTGATCTATATCTATACCCATCTACATCCATTTATATATTGTTCTTGTAATTCCTAAAAGTTCTGTTAAGCACCGTGGGGGAGCAAATGCCACGCAAGCCTCTGTCAAGGGAGCAACATTCGTGTTATTCGGTCAGTTACATGAAAAGTAGTCGTCAATTTTATTTATTATCAGAGCCAATAGTTATCTACAACCGAATTTCTCAAGTGGATTCTCCTCTATATGAATTGGGGACTGCGTTACTGAAGTATTACTATCTCTCTCAGAACACAAGAACAAGTGCATTAGTTGAGATTTCTAGATAACAAGATATCAGATCTGCAGTCACTGATAAGTCCTCGATTCAGAAATAAGAAAATTTGTATGCTATAAATAGATGGCATTACAAGTTTGTCATTATGAATCGTAATGCAATAACCGTAATATGGGTTGTCGACATTGCTTTTGATAACAATCATTTGTTCTACAAATATTATTTATACAGCTTAGAACTGTCGATCTGACTATTTCCGTCATGAAATAGTTGGCCTATAGGTTGTACTTGAAACTTTCTTTTCTCAATTGAAAATGTATAGTGCTACATTCAACTGAAGTGACTGGTACATTTCCAATGAACACTATTAAAGCAAAGAAAATTTGCGTTTACCGTGGCATGATTCTTGCTCCCCCAATGTTTCTCTCTCTACGAAAACATGATGATCGAATGCAGAATGAAGGTGCATTTATTCATTTTCTCTTCGCTCACGCAATGTACTCAATACTATGTAAACTAGCGAGAACCCGTGCATATTGCACGGCTGTTTTCTCCTTTAATGTATGACCTCAGACATTTAACTTTTCATCCGGTAAAATACATACAGACACTCGATATTATGTATATAGATAGGTTGCCCCACGACCTTATACTCTTATATCGCACATATTTTTATAGTCCGTGCAGCCTTCAGCCTTATAGCCTTATATTCCTTGTAGCCTTATCTCCCTATTGCCTTACTCCCTTCAGGGCCTATGCGTATCACAATATAATAGCCCTTGGGGACCTATGGGTACCTCCACATAATAGCCCTTGCGAACCTATGGGTACCCCCATCGGATAGCCCTTGAGGACCTACGGGTACCCCCACATAATAGCCCTTGCGAACCTATGGGTATCCCCATCGGATAGTCCTTGAGGACCTATGGGTACCATCATAGGATGGCCCTTGAGGACCTATGGGTACCTCCACATAATAGTCCTTGAGGACCTATGGGTACCGCCCTAGGATAGCCCTTGACGACCTATGGGTACCCCTATAGGATAGCCCTTGGGGACCTATGGGTACCCTCACATAATAGCCCTTTGGGATCTATGGGTCCCCATAGGATAGTCCTTGAGGACCTATAAGTACCCCATACATAGTCCCTGGAGATCTCCCCTTATAGCCTTATGTGACCTTTAACCTTTGACCTTTAACCCTTGACCTTTGTCCCTTGACCTTTGACCCGGCACAAACACACAGACACACAGACACACTGAGCATTATATATATAGATCGTGACGATTGATTTAGGCTTCAATATCTTCTATTTCGAGTACAGCTTTGTGATATTTTTCTCATATTCCAAGTTCTTTATTTGAAAGTGAATAAGACTGTCGATGTAGACATCGGTGTCGTATTAGGTGAATTTCAATGTGGCTAGGTAACGATGCTAGTAGTTGCATGTATGCGACTGCATCTACTTGTGTTTTCGCTTTATAACCGCGTACACAAACTCTGCGACATCCACACCTCACACGCAAATCTTACGAGACGAGTATGCACATATCTACATCTGTACTCACGTCCACAGCTGCATACCCACATCAAGATACACGATAAGAATTAAACAAAAGACTGACCAAAGAATCAGTTCTTGTAAAACACTCTTGAAACTTCTCATGAGAAATAGTTTTCTAATGAGAAATGTCTTCTTTTTCTGAAAGAGATTACTTCTTTCGCTCATCTTAATAGATTTTGGCTATCTTTTCACTTCGGTTTATTTTTTGTAGTTGTCTTTTTGAAGTTGTAAGAGAATAAACTATGATTCAATTGATAGTTTTGATTTCACTTAATGCTTTTATTTTCGTGTATAACAATATTTCGAAACTGAATACTTCAGTGAAAAACATGAGTTTACAACATTGGATTTTATATTTCTGCAACATTGCTAAAGACTTTATCGCATTCTTTGCTATGTCAATATAACGATATGTTATCTTTTATTGCTTTAATATCAACAAAATACGAGTGACTTCGACGCAGTGCGATATTTTCGTTTGAATTACTAGTGCAGTATGTGTATAAGCTTTTAATGTAAGAAGCTCAAAAATGGGGAGTGGATCTTCCAAGAAAAATCAGCAACAAGTGAATCGGACTCCTTCACCAGGTCCTATTTTTTCTTTACATTAGAATATGACAAATTATGTTTTTTTGTATGTTTACAGATTTGTCGCTATCTTCTACGCCATCACGATCGTCAGTAGTGTTTCTTAATCCCCAAAGACAAACAAATTTATTATCTCACTATGAGAGATCACCATATGAAATATCTTATTCTTCTCCAAGAGTGATAAGTACAACGTCTTGGGCTCGTCCAATGTCAACAGAAACACGATCTATCGATACCAGAAATGATAATTATGATGTTGAGAGCTTACGCAGCTATGATTCCAGTGAACTTTCTGATGATGACAATGTGTCCCGTTTAGACACGAGAGCTTCGTCCGTCGTAGAAAGTGTTCGAAGTCAACAACATACGTTGATCAAACCTGTAGTCATTACAACAGCGTTGCAAGTGTCACAGTGTTTCACGATGTCACTTGCGAAGGAATTTGTCAACTCGTTAAACTGGCACAAAACACTATTTGATGACTCACAAGATCGATGTTATTGTACTAAATGTTATCCAATTCCTTGGGATGATGTCATTTCAACAGGCAATGCTAATTATGTTATACCCCGTGGTTGGACTCGTTTAGGTCTTCGTGTCGATCCGATGCTTATCGATGCATATGATATTTGGAATAAGTGGATAGTAACATTTCATGGAACTACAAAAACAGCTGCACTATCAATTCTTATTCATCGACATTTTTATTTACCAGGAGATAAATTAATTGATGGTACCACGTTGGGTATTAGAGACGGGCATATTCCTAATAAAAAATTCATTTTCACATCTCCCACTATTGCTTACTCAAGTTCGACGATATACGCTCCGAATAATGACTTTTATTCAAGTACGAATAATACCTTATATGAAGCGCAGCTTGTGCTTCAATGTCGACAACAACCAGACTCATTTAAAATTCAGGGTGAAACAATCAGAGCTGGCTCAAAACGCATTTGTCCATTTATTCCAAATGAACAAATCGAATACTACACTGATATAAGATCTTCAATTATTGCCTATGGATTACTCGTACGATTTCGCGAGAAAAGGCGATAATGACAAGTGATGACCACACAACTGATGAACGTGTTTCGAGTAGAATACACTATTTGACTTTTGAATTGTTTCATAAAATAGCAAGTGACATATTTTTATTTAATGAACTTTCAGCAAAATACAATTAAGTACCAAAACATTCAATATCTAAATCATTAGTGCCTAGCATCCTACAAATTTTGAAAGTTTCATTAGGTTTCAAGGCAGACCAGTAGAACCCTGTCAAGATGCATTGTACGTATCGAAGTCATACAATGGGTTATTTAATTTCAATCTGAATTTAAACAGAGAAAAGAGCACTTGATTTCAAATTGAAATAGGGGACTAAGGGGACTAAGTGGACTAAGCGGACTAACTAAGGGGACTAAGGGGACTAAGGGGACTAAGGCCACTAAGGGGACTAAGGGGACTAAGGGGACTAAGGGGACTAAGGAGACTAAGGGGACTAAGGGGACTAAGGCGACTAAGTGGACTAAGGGGACTAAGGGGACTAAGGAGACTAAGGGGACTAAGGGGACTAAGGGGACTAAGGAGACTAAGGGGACTAAGGGGACTAAGGGGACTAAGGCGACTAAGGCGACTAAGGGGACTAAGGGGACTAAATTCAGTGGGGAAGCGCGTTTCCCCACCTAACACACCTTTTATTTCAGCGTCGCGGCGTGGGGGCGCGAAGCGCCCCCCGAAGAGCCGCAATCCATGCACGTCTCTGTGTACACCATTATTCCTACTCAGTGCTGCACATTAGCTCAAATTTCTCACATCCTTCTTGTAGCATCCCAGATAATGTCTGCAGCATCTGAACCAAAACCTGTAGTGTCCTAGGAAATGCTTGTAGCATCATAGGGGATGCTGCAAGCATCCCCTTAGTTCCCTTAGTTAGTTCGCTTAGTCATCTTAGTCCCCTTAGTTAGTCCGCTTAGTCATCTTAGTCCCCTTAGTTAGTCCGCTTAGTCATCTTAGTCTCCTTAGTTAGTCCGCTTAGTCATCTTAGTCCCCTTAGTTAGTCCGCTTAGTCATCTTAGTCCCCTTAGTTAGTCCGCTTAGTCATCTTAGTCCCCTTAGTTCCCTTAGTCCCCTTAGTTAGTCCATTTAGTTCGCTTAGTCAGCTTAGTCCCCTCAGTTCCTCTGCCTTGGTAAAAAAGGGGTGTTATTTTTTATTCAAAATTCAATTTGAAATAAAAAACCCATAGACTCATCGAAGTGCACTTTTCTGCAGCCTCTCACAGTTTTATTCTTCTCAGTTTCATTTTCTCGAGCACTGAGAAAGTGTCCATCATGTTCAAATCAAAGGTAACGAACGAACAAATGAACAGAACCAATAAAACAATGACTAATATTGGTGCAGTAATCGTTGTAAAAGAAACAGACACTACGTACGAGAATGTAGTATCTGAACTAGATGTGTGAGTGTGGGTATAGATACATGACGAAAAGGCGCACTCATTTTTACGCCCACATAAAGGTTTGGAATAGTATTCAGATGCATCATATAATAACGTCGCTCAAGTGTGCCAACATATGAAAGACTGTTCTACTACGTTCCCGTACTTTGAAATAGCATTTATCACTATCGAGAAAGTGTCATATCTCAAGCATAATGATTTAGGTGCATCGTGCGACAATACAGCTCTTTCCTATCCAGAACTAGGACACAGTTCAATACGCTGTGTTATTATGAGTTAGCAGTTGACATCTTTCAAAATTATCTGTCATCAAGCCATCTCTCATTAGCTTTTATACGCAATAAGATTGTTTGTTTCCATGATAAAAGGAGATTTAATAAGAAAGCACTCTTTTATTTCCAGTAAATATTTAAAACCTTTAGGGTGGGTATGAGTATGTTGCTGTACATGTATTTTTAGGGTAGAGTTTATTCTTCACTGTCATGCCAACAGCTGCACACAATTGCACTTTGGATAACTGCCTGTAAATTTCAGTGCAAGTTAGAAGATAACATTGAACCTGTTTGTACTCGTTAAGCATAATTGGAATATACAAATAATATTTATTTTGATCACTCGAATGTCTCAAACCTTCAGAGATTAAGAAATTACAGAACATATATATTAGCGAGAAGATTTTCGTCATTTCGATCAATATTATTAGTAAAAGAAAATTTGATTTGCGATTAGTTATATTACATTTAAGTAGCTCTATCATAGTTCAAAAGAAAATAAGAAATTTTCGTCTTATTTGTACTCTGTAAAAACTTTAATTATAGGCACAATGTAAAAAGTGATGAATGGTAAAAAGACACGTTTCTCTCGTCCATATAGAAATGAATAACTAATGTCGGCGCCAGAATTAAAGAGGGGTTGGTGTAATTTGAATAACTCAACAACGGCAAGAGCTAGCGACCTGCGATTTTCGCCAATCGAAAGAGGAGGAGTGGGGACGTCTTTTTCTCTCATAATGTATGAGACGAAATCCTTTTAAAACTGATCATATTCGAAAAACATGCAAAAGAACTCATGAAAATGACCTGCCCGCTAGATGAAATTTTGATTTTGACCTTTGATTTAGATAGAGGGACTTCAGATCTATAGCTCAATATACAATGCAAATGGTTGTCTTATTACATTCTAATGCTGAGCAAATGGAATCATGCACTTACATGCGCAAAAAATACGGAATTTTGCTGATTTTTTACTAAGTTTTCGCACTTTTTATCCTAGTAGCTTGAGATTTCGATGAAAATGTAAGAAAAAGTAAGAAAGCGCATTGTGTCTTGAACTATAGATCTGAAGTCCCTCTATCTAAATCAAAGGTCAAAATCAAAATTTCATCTAGCGGGCAGGTCATTTTCATGAGTTCTTTTGCATGTTTTTCGAATATGATCAGTTTTAAAAGGATTTCGTCTTACACATTATGAGAGAAAAAGGCGTCCCCACTCCTCCTCTTTCGATTGGCGAAAATCGCAGGTTGCTAGCTCTTGCCGTTGTTGAGTTATTCAAGTTACACCAACCCCTCTTTAATTCTGGCACCGGCATTAGTTTTGAGGTTATTCAATAGAATATTCAACTTTCTTCAACATAGTTTCATTTTATTTTTTCTTATCATCAAAAGTTTGAAACACTCAAACTTACACATTAATTCTTTGAGCAGATCGTTTGCGAATCTTAAGAATAATTGCTGAAAAATTGGAAATAACTATTCGAACGAAAATTTACATTAGTTTATTTGACACTGAAATATAACTCGAATGGCTTGAGAATATGGGTGGCACTTTAACTTTAAAAAATTCAAAGTTAAAATAAACGTTTTTCCATAAAACAATTTTTTTCTTGAAAATTAATAAAAGTGAATAAACATTTATGAAAGTACCCATAACTCTTCATGGGCTGTGTTACGGAGTCATTCATAGACAATCATCCACTATATAAAGGGGTACCCTTTGGTCATCAACTGTTATATAATGAGGGTACCCTTGAGTCGTCAACTGCTATAGAACGGAGGTACCCTTGGGTTATCATCTACTATATAACAAGAGTATTCTTGGATCATCAACTACTATATCACGGGGAGTCTGCACAACAATTCATGCAGCATATTACACTAGCGTTCGTCTGTCAACGTAGACTATATAGTGGTAGTACTCATTCGCCTTCATTAAGTATATGACTTGGTTACCGATAATCCTTCATAGATTTGATAACGAATTATCGATAACGATGCGCGAACAACATAAGGAAGTGTGGAAAACTCGTCAGCACCGATAGAGCAGGTGAATCAATCGTCCTCGACGTGTCATCTAGTAGTAGTCTGTGCCTATACCAAGGGGGAAACAGCAGACTTTTAGACTTGAAGTTACTTTGAGCTACGTTAAGCTACTTCAAGTTATTTTCAGCTACTTCAAGTAGCTTACTTTGAAGTACTTTTCAACTTCATATCTACTTCAAGTTACTTGAAATTACTTGAAGTTACTTGAAGCTACTTGTTCCTACTTTGAGCTACTTGGGTGGTACTTTGAACCACTCAAGTAGCTTACTTTGAGGTACTTTGGCATACTTTTCTACTTAAAATCCGCTGTTTCCTTCTTGATCTATACTCATCGTGTGTGTAACATTTGTTCTCACAGTCTTCGCAATATATCTAGGAGTAGTGACTTCCTGCTAGTAACAGCTTTGAGGAAATACATTACATGGCGCTTCAAAACTCATTACTTGATTTTTCCTAGCTCGAATGTGGCTTTAATCAATGTGGTTACCAGTTCTTCACCAGTATACAAAATCGTTGCTCTCATTGTTGTTTTATACCTTACCTTTATAACAAGCCAGAGCTGATCTGCAGCTTTTCAACTTTGGACCCCTTAATTGTGTCATGGCAATTCGTCTTAGTAATCGTTAGCAGTTATCTATTATTATTACGTGATTGAGTGTCAAAATAGTATGTTCTAGTAATAGTAATTCTGTTATTAACCTTCTCCATTTGTTGAGAAACCCTCCAAGGTTCTTGTACGATCCAGAGCCGCAAGGACCTACATCAAGTTTTCCACAGGATCCTGCTTCAACTCCTGATAAGTCGCGTTGCTGCTTAGGAATAGTTTGGTTAGACAAGCTCCTAACAAGACTTCGTCAGGTTCCCACCCAGACTTTTCCATAGTTGTTCGAACATGGTGCTTCCAGGATTTAGTACTGATTCTTCTGAGGATCATTAGAAGAATAAGAACGACAATTTCCTCAAGATTCTCTCAAGTTTTCGTCAGATACAGGTTAGGAACTTCATAAAATGATTTACTCTACCTCTTACGTACGTCAGAAAGGACTATTAACATAAGAGTTTTTGTTGCAACTAAGGCTTTCGTTTAACATAAGATTATCTTCTATTCATATTCACTCTAGGTATGCTCAAAGATTGTCAGCTCTCCAATAGCCACAAACTCTTTAGGATTTTGATAGAATCATGCTTCCAGTTCTGTGGAGATTCTAAAATTCCTTGGCTACACACTTTTCATGGCACTCGTAGATTCGTGGCAAAATCGTAGTTGAAATTTAATGGTA